GCTTACATGGAAATGTGAATAAAAGCAACATTTAACTTTTTCTATTGTTTTGGCCAATCTAGGCAAAGTCTTAAAAYCTCAAGTTAAAAAAATAACATTTAGGGGATTTTTTGGGGGGGTTTAACACAGTGGCGGGTCATTTTGACCCGAAGACAACAGGAGGGTTAAGTCTATTTTAGACAAAGTTTAAAATAAAAAAACAAACATTTAATGAAAATAAACAGAAGGATTGTCAGTCAATAATGTTTTTAGCATGTTAACACGCTAGCATGCACTGGACTTTTWGGGTTTTTGTTCTTGCTTCTTGCTATTTTATGTCTTTAAGCCAAGACTACATGTAAAGAGAGACACATTTAAAAAAATGTGACAAATTAATGTGAGATTATCATCAGGTATGTATGGTGATGGCAGAGAAAGGAAAATGTGATTCAGTGTTAAAGCAGCAACCAAAGAATGGGAGGAAAGGCAGTAAATTCCTCGAACACGTTGCTCAGAATTGAAACTATTGTTGTAATCTGCGTCATTTAATTTCTGGTCACTAGAGCAGTAGACAAGAGTAAAACAACAAACAAACACAAATTCTGAGTTTAGAGCTCTTTTTCACCAAGTTGTTCACTGTGCTCGTTTGGTTTTACTGTCTCATTCATCGTAAAGCTGTGCAGACAAACTCCTCTTTCTGTTAATGTTGGGTCAATAAATTACCTAATCAGCATTTTTCTGAGATCTGTATTCCTGCAGGATGTAACGAGATTATAAAGATGGAGCAGAGCTTTTCTTTTTCCATATGTAGTTCAAGATTTTGGATATTAAAGCTAATGATCATTTTGTCAATAAAAATATGCAACATGGGTGCATGTCGTTTATGTGATTTGTATTGATCACAAATCTATATTTCTTAAGGGTTTTTCCTGATGAAACCATGTACAAATATGTATTTGTGCACTTTGCTAATAAAACGACTGTTATTTCTGCATTTAGCAAATCCAAAGTGCAGATTTAGGTCGATTTAAATCTAAATTTAACCCTCCTGTTATGTTTGTTTCTGAGGAACAGCAAATATTGTTCCTGTGTCAGTTTCATGTTTAATCATGCAAATAATGCCAGAAAAAAAAAAATCACGCAAAACATTGTTGTGTCTGATTATTGACTGAATTACCGACCATTTCAATCAATATTTGTGTGTTGATGTTTTCTTTATATTTCTCACAGAGAAATGAGAACAATTCACAAATTTTTCATAAAAAAATGCACATTATATTTTTCTACATCCAGAAAAGGAACCTACAAAAAAAAAAGGTTATACTTGAAATTATCATTATTTTTTTACATTTTGATCTATGTAATATGGAGATGTGTGTGTGTGTGTGGGGGGGGGGGGGTTGAAAATATGTTAAATGAACCATATTCACTTTATATGTTAATTATACTTGGTAAAACAAATACAAAAAATTTCATACTGAAAAAATACTTTCAACTATTTTTAAAATAGTTTTGAACTTTGACACGAATCAGTTTGACCTGCATTATAACAGGAAGGTTAAGTTCGCCAAATAAAAAAAAATATATATTTCTCATCCTTGTTTTATTTGTCTTTTAATACAACTCAGTTTTAGACAGTTAAACGTCTAGCTTGTAGCTCTTATAATGATTGCTGGTCAGATTTAAAGCAGAATATTCTAAAACTACCTGCTGTACAGTAAAAAGATTAATAATTTATTTAAAACATTATTGCTTGTTATCAGATTAACAGGATTATGCCAGTAAAAAGTCAGTTTTTAATGCACATCTGATCTCAAATGGTGTTGGGAAGAAATAGATCTTTTTTTTTATTTAAGTTATATTTAACTGACCTTATGATATCAGTTTTACTGGGTTTCACTCTGTTCTTTTACAGATAGGGATGTTTTATGACCAAGAAAAGATCTGTAAGGAGTTATCTTGTTATTGTACTTTATCGCTGCCATTGTTTTGTTTTGGCCTATAGATGCCTGGATGGGAGTGACATCATGAGCTGATCAAAAAGAAAAAAAATTGTGTAGGTCCTCTGGACGGGTTCTTCTCTAATGAAATGTTTCATCTCTCCTCCAAGAGACTTCTTCAGTCTGAGAGTTTCAGGCAAAATTCAGGCTTTTAAGCCCTGCCTCCATGTGACTGATACTCACATCATCATCATATTGTAAGCCCACCCACACAGACCAATATTTGGTTTTGACTCCCACCACCCACTGTAACACAAGTTAGGAGTGATCAGGACTCTGTACCACAGAGCAGACAGTGT